TGGATACTTGGTCCCATGAGAGGAGCACGGAAATTGCTATTTCAATATGGGGAGAGAGGGTTAAACAGATGTCACAAAACTTACTTGAGGGGAAACAGAAGCCAAGACACGCGCCTCAGCTTGAGCTCCGGCCAACTATTGGCAAAGGATTTTTTTTTTTTTTTTGAAATGGAGTCTCACTCTGTCACCCAGACTGCAGGACAGTGGTGTGATTTCCACTCACTGCAACCTCTGCCTTCTGGGTTCAAGCAATTCTCCTGCTTCAGCCTCCCGAGTAGCTGGGATTACAGGCGCCCACCACCACGCCTGGCTAATTTTTGTATTTTTAGTAGAGATAGAGTTTCATCATGTTGGCCAGGCTGGTCTCAAACTCCTGACCTCAGGTGATCCACCCACCTCAGCCTCCCAAAGTGCTGGGATTACAGGCATGAGCCACTGCGCCCAGTGGCAAAGGATGTTTTTTAATGCTATGGTGACCTGGTTTCTGATGCAACTCTTTGAGGGATTTTAATATAGGAGATAGTTAAGTTTAGGCTCTAGTGGAGCTTAAGTAATTTTTAGTTACTGGTTTAAAGGAAAGACATTGTGAATGTCCCTTGTGGGGAAAGGCAGCAGCAGGCATGAGTACTGCAGATGAGATGAGACATATGCAGAGAATCCAGCACCTCCAGGGGGTGGCTTCGCCACAAGCAGCCAGAGGCACAGACACCAGCACAGAAACCGCCAGCAAAGGCAATGAACTCATGGAAAACAGTAGCAACTGGGGGTTGATACCTACTAGAAAGAAATTTCTGAGGGCCTAGGCATCTGGGAATCCCTGCTGGGTGAGCAAGCATTCATCACCCTCTTCTGTTTGGCCAAGACAGGGGAGTCCTGGGAAGTTTGCAACAGAGGAACCAGAAACCCAAATTATCCTTGGAGAAGCCACAAGTCTTTGAGGGGATGACACTTGCTGAACTTCAACTCTGTAATTTAAGCTTTAGTTTGTGGTCTTCTGTTCACTCAGAGTATATATGGATCCCTGAGACTACTGTGATCAAAGAAGGGAAGATCATTTATGGATGTGCTGTGGCCTCCATGACTCTGTGCCTCCTCAAATCACATATGCCATCCAGGGTGGGCCAAGGAACCCTTCCCCTGAGGGACTGCTGTAACACCTCCCCACGTAAGTCTTATTTTTCCCCACAGTCGTAAGGCTGTCAAGACTAACTTGATTGAATTGCCCTCCTGGGTCTAAAAACAGAGATCTTGTAACTGTGGGACAGAGTAACAAGTGGCAAGAGGATCCATCAGGAGCTCTGGATTGTGGTGCCCCACGAATAACAGCTAATGCTTATTGAGCACTTACTGTATGCCAGGCATTTCTTTTACATATATTATGTCATTTAATCTTCAAATCACTCCTATGGGGTAGGTATAACTACTATTACGTTTTTTACTTTAGAGATGAGGAAGTCAAGACTCAGAGAGGTTAGATAACTTTCCAAGGTTCACACAGTAGGGATGAGGTGAAGTCTTAATCTCGATCTTACACTCTCTTCTCTTTACTCAGAGCACGTAGTCTCTTTGAAAGGAGCAGCCTGCTGTCCTATTTCATGGTTGAAGGTGAGGAAATTGCTCAGGAGTTACCCGAGCAGATAGAGAATTGCTGGTTGAGGTCACAGCAGGGCTACAGCTGCCTGTGTCTTGTGGATAACAGTGCAAGCAACACTCAGAAAATATCTACTGGGTGCAGTGGCTCACACCTGTAATCTCAGCACTTTGGGAGGCTGAGGCAGGAGGATGGCTTGAGCCCAGAAATTCAAGACCAGCCTGGGCAACATAGTAAGACCCCATCTCTACAAAAAATAAAATTAGCCAGATGTGGTGGCACTGTCTGTAGTCCCAGCTACTCAGGAGGCTGAGATAGGACGACTGCTTGAACCCAGGAAGTCTAGGCTGCAGCGAGCCATGATTGTGCCACTGCACTCCAGCCTGGAAGACAGAGTGAGACCCTATCTCAAAAAGAAAGAAAAAGAAGGGAAAATATCCAAGTCCCCTGTGTAGTGAACCCAAAAACATGCCGTGCAAATACCCCTTCAAATAGACTTATTGTTCCAGCTGTCAGCTTCTTCAGGGTCTGCCTGAGCTGCAGAGAGCTGCCTTGCTCAAGATGTTGCTCTTTCCAGGGTGGCAAACATCCGATGAGTGGCAGCAACAGGGGTATTACAGCCAAGCCACTTCACATCATTTCAACCCAGTGCAGCATAACAGATCAGTTGAAGCTTCATCAGGCCTGAGTTGAAGTTTGACTTCTTTTTTTGTCCAATCCTTCTCTCTGCCTGCTTTCTGCTATAATGGTGCATCTCTAATAACCACCTTGCATTCCATAATCTGCCTCTACATCTGCTTCTGGAGAGCCTAACCTGGAACACCTGCGCATCAGGGTAGGCAAGCTCCTGGCTGCCCTCCTCGGAGGGCGGATGATCAGAATTCACTGATTATCCAAAGAAGACTCTTGGTCTCCCAGTGAGAAAGACTAACTCTGCTCCCCAAGTTTTTCAATGCCATGATCCCCATGAACTTACAATGTTTTGGCAGCTCACTGAGGGAAACAAAGGAGGTTGCTGGGCTGGGAGGACAGGTCTGGAGTCTCTAACTTGTGGTCCTGTGGGCTCAAGGATACACTGGGCACATTCAGAACACCCTGGTTGGGAGGCTACAGGCCAACTCAAAAATCCTAATGCTCGAATGAGGAAGATAAGTGGCTTTGAAAAAGGCTTACACATATACACACTCCCTAACTAGGCTCGATTACTTGGACTAATTATACACACTCCTAATTATACACACTCCCTAACTAGGCTCGATTACTTCAACTAATTACTTAATTGTAAAAGGCAAAATTATAACACTTTTCATAGAAAAATATCTGTATGACCTCAAGATAGGAAAGGATTTCTTAAATAAAACATACCAAAAAGCAAGCCACAAAAGGGAATATTGATGGTTGTATTTACATAAGAATCAAGAACCTCTATTCATCAAAAGACATCACAAACTAAAAAGACAAACTACAAACTGTGAGAAGATATTAGCAATAATATGATAATATTAATGGCAAAGAATTCATATTTAGAATATTTATAAAGATTTCAATGAATTAGTAAGAAAAATTCAATAATTCAATAGAAAAATGAACAAAAGACATGAACATGCATTTCACAGAAAACAGAAATAGCTATAAATATATGTAAAGATATTAAGTAACCAAGAAAATACAAATGCCTATCAACAAGGAAAAATGAGGCTGGGTGCAGTGGCTCATGCATGTAATCCCAGGGCTTTGGGAGGCCAAGGCAGGTGGATCACTTGAGGTCAGGAGTTCGAGGCCAGCCTGGCCAACATGGTGAAGCCCCATCTCTACTAAAAATACAAAAATTAGCCAGGTGTGGTGGCAGGCACCTGTAATCCCGGCTACTTGGGAGGCTGAGGCAGGAGAATCGCTTGAACTCAGGAGGCAGAGATTGCAGTGAGCCAAGACTGTGCCACTGCACTCCAGCCTGGGCAACAGAGGGAGACTGTCTCAAAAAAAAAAAAAAAAAAAAAAAAAAAAAAAAAAAGAGCAAGATAGTTACTCATATCTTTTTTTTTTTTTTTTTTTTTTTTGAGGCGGAGTCTCGCTCTGTCGCCCAGGCTGGAGTGCAGTGGCCGGATCTCAGCTCACTGCAAGCTCCGCCTCCTGGGTTTACGCCATTCTCCTGCCTCAGCCTCCCCAGTAGCTGGGACTACAGGTGCCTGCCACCTCGCCCGGCTAGTTTTTTGTATTTTTTTTAGTAGAGACGGGGTTTCACCGTGTTAGCCAGGATGGTCTCGATCTCCTGACCTCGTGATCCGCCCGTCTCGGCCTCCCAAAGTGCCGGGATTACAGGCTTGAGCCACCGCGCCCGGCCAACACAGATGAATCTTAAAAATCCAATGTTGTTAGCGAACAAAGCAAATACAGCATAAAATATGTTGATTCCATTTATATGAATACATGTTTGATTTTGTTTTAAAAAACAGAAACACTACATACATAAGACGAAACTATAAAGAACAAGGAAACAGTTAATATAAAACTCAGAATATGCTGTGGAAAAGGCAGGGAGCTGCATGGAGGATCATTTATTATCATTGCTGCTAATACTCCGTTTCAAGGGCTGGCACCCCATGAGCCAAATCCAGTATACCACCTTTTTTTTGTACAGCCTGTGAGCTAAGAGAGTTTTTACATTTTTTAATGTTGGGAAAAAATTTACAAGAAGAATTACATTTCATGATGTGAGAATTATATGAAATTCAAAATTTCAGTGTCCATAAATAAAGCTTTACTGGAACAGAGCCATGTCCATTTGTTTATATATTGTCATTCTCTCTCTGCCTGCCCGTCAGTACACACGACTACTCCTTATCACTGTTGGAAGACAGCTTTCCATGTGTTCCTTGTGTTTCCCTCCACAGCAAAAGGCAGACATGCTCACTGCCCATTATAAATGCTTCTCTAAAATCCCAGACTTCCTTTCCTATGACAGAACCTATTGCATGAGTGCATACTCTCTGTCCCTCTTTCCATCATCCTGGGCAAATTGGGAATCAGTACCAGTGTAAGAAAATGCTGATACTCTGGGCTACTCCTGTGAGTAACAAATTATCCTTTGTTTCTGAACCAGGAGTCTTATGTCTTCCAGCACCCATGAAAATATGGCAGGGTAAAATCTCAGACCATCCACAGTTCTTGACGCCACCCCTTCCCATGTATACAGATTAAAAACCTGAGGCCCAGAGAAGGGAAGTGACTAGAGCAAGTTTATTCCACTGATGAGTAGCAGCACTAGCACAAGATCTCCTATTTCCTGGCTCCCAGTCCAATGCTCATTCCCTGCCTCCCAGCAACATCTAAGGACCTCTCCAGGCCTCCAAGACACTTAGAACTTCACCTTGCTTACCATTGCAACTCCCAGACACACTTCAGTCCTTACCTTTCACACTACATTTGAAGGTTTGACTGACCACTCCGGTATTATTCTCTTTCTCTGCTGGCCATTGATACACGTAGACTGTGGTTCTAGAAGACCCGGCATCCAGCACAATACCATACTGAATAAAAAGGGAAAGGGAGAGTCAGAAATGGGCGGGACTCCTCTGATCACTGCTTTCTCGGTGGGCCACTGAAAACCCTGAGTACCTTAATCCGCACTGCTTCACTTAGGGAAGGACTGATCAATAAGAAAAACTATTTCCTCCAAACCAATTTTGTCTCCTTGGATTGTGGAGGAAGAGGATGAAGAAAGGTAGGGCAGGTTCCAGGAAATAATTATCACTTTGCCATGCATTAGAATCACCTGGAGAGCTTAAAAAAATCCCCCAGTGCCAAGGCTACACCCCATACCAATTAAATCAGAATCTCTGAGAGTGGACTCAGGCATCAACAGGTTTTAAAAGTCCCAGGTGAGTCCAACACTCAGCCAAGGTTGAGAATTGTACTTCATAGATCTTGTATACAATCGGGTTGCCTGGTTCTTCCTCATTTAGACCTCTGGGGGGAGGTACAAAAGCCATCTTCATCTCAGAAGGAAAATGAATAGTCACCTGGATGCCCTATATTTCCAAACTTCTAGGTTTATCAGTCTAAAAATAAACAACCAAAATGAAAGCGTAGGAAGAAGCTATAGGAAGTTTTTCACATGGCAGAGGCATTTCTTTTTTTCTTTTTTTGAGATGGAATTTCACTCTCGTCACCCAGGCTGGAGTGCAATGGCACGATCTCAGCTCACTGCAACCTCTGCCTCCCAGGTTCAAGAGATTCTCCTGCCTCAGCCTCCTAAGTAGCTGGGATTACAGGTGTCTGCCACCATCCCTGGCTAATTTTTGTATTTTTAGTAGAGATGGGGTTTCACCATGTTGGGCAGGCTGGTCTCAAACTCCCGACCTCAGGTGATCCACCCGCCTTGGCCTCCCAAAGTGCTGGGATTACAGATGTGAGCCACTGTGCCTGGCTGAGGCATGTTAATACCTGCATCAGTGCTCAGAATTAAAGTATTCATAATTAAGGAGAAAAAAAGCAAAATAAAATAATATTGACATATTGATCCCACTTTGGCAATGTGTATGTCAACAAACGAACAGGCAGGTGTTGCTGGGCAGTGCTGGGGCTGCCTGTGTGCAGGAGAGTAGGCTGAGAGTCCTGGACCGATTTGCCCAACTTGAGCAGGCACTAGAAAGCTCCACCTGCAGGTTTGGCCCAGCCCAGGCTCTGGACCAAACCTGACCAGGAAAGAGCATGTATTAGTAGCCTATAGAGTTTGGAATTAGCAATGCATACCGAAGCCGAGTATCTGCTTGTGCTCACAGTCATCCCAGGGCATCCAGAGGCCTTCAGGGTGGCCTGAAGTCCCCCACTCCACCACCTTTGGGTTAACCTAGCCTGTCCCACAGAAGATGATGAAGCTGGGTCTGGAGGCAGGCTGACTCAGATAGATTCTTGATTTTATGATGCTGGCCTGGGTAAGTTGCCTGACCTTTCCAGGTTCCCTCATTTTTAGAGGACTTATTTGCAGAAGTAAATAGAAGGCTATATGCCTGATGCTTAGTGGCTACTCATAAATACAGGCTATTAGCATATATAGAAAAGCCAGTCAAACAAAACAAACAAATAAAATCACAAAACAAGAAAAACAGAAAAGAAAACAAAGTATCCCTCAAATCCAGATATTGCATTAGCCCTTGTTATATCTTTTCTAATGATATATGTATATATGTATCTGGATATATACATATATCATTGTATATATGCAGTGGTGCCATCATGACTCACTGCAGCCTCAACTTCTCAGGCTCAATCGATTCTCAGCCCCAGCTTCTCGAGTGGCTGGGATTACAGGCGTGCACCATCACACCTGGCTAATTTTTGTATTTTTTGTAAAGACGGTTAAGTCATGTTTCCCAGCCTGGTCTCGAACTCCTGGGCTCAAGTGATTCACCCACCTCGGCCTCCCAAAATGCTGCTGGTATTACAGGCATGAGCCGCCGCATCTGACCATGCAATGCTCTTTTCTTAAAAGTATATCATGAACATGTCTTCCTGACAGTAGAAACAGATTCATATCACCATTTTCATACATTCATTGTATTCACTGTTAGATACAGAGTAATTTAACCAATTTCCTGATCCTATACATTTAGGAGGTTTCCAACTTTTTATTATCTGTATTACAAATGCTTGTTTTGTTTGAAATGGGACCAAATTTTTAAAAAGTTGCTCCAGCTCCTGAATCATAGCCTCTCCATTATTTTGAAATAGAACATCTGTGTCCACTGGTATGCGAATTTGGACAGTCTCTTAATCTCAGCCCTTCAGTATGATGAACATTGATCGGGATCCTGACCTGACATCCCTCATGGGGAACAAGGGTGGCATTGTTCATAATCTGTCACAGTCAGCGACTCACAATGAGATTAAAGCACAGGTTGAAACTGAAGGCAAGAAGGAAACCAGGCACTAAATTAAAGAGGTCCGGACCTCTATATTCTTGGTCTGCTTTCTTTCCTCCCTCCTGATCACCACCACTCCAACTGGCCCTGCCACGCCTGGTGCTGACCCATAAAACAAGAGGAGAGAGAGAATAAGTGAAAAACTATCACCTTCCTTTCCTCAAATCTTTATTCCAACCCTTCTAAAAGGGTGCATGTCTTCCCTGTGTGTGAAGCTCAGGGCTGCTGGGCCAAGATCAGAGAAGAATCGAATCCATTATCATTTGTAACTCCAGCTGGGATCCAGCTTTCACCAGGATCTGAGGCACCCAGACTTTGCTCTGTGAGACTGGAGAAACAACTGTCCCTCCGGCACCTGCTGATGTAGGCCCACCTCTACTGACTCACACTCTTCTAGCCCTACCATCATTTACTCACATTTTTTAAAGTGGGAAAAATGGTCTTTAACCAGTTTTCAGAGCTCTTTTGCCTAAACAGTGAAACTCAGTGTGATTCTTTTGGGGGAGAGGGGATGGGAATCAATTTCAGTTCAGCTAGCCAGTTGATGTTTGGATAAAAAGTAATAAGTAATCTTCTGTCTAATGCAGTGTCAGAAAAAATCATGGCTTGAATGTGGATCTGAAGCAGTGGGTTAACTAAAAGGAAACAGTCTTTCGGTTTAGAAATGTATAGAATCAGGAAATTGGCTAAATTACTCTCTATCTAACAGTGAATGCAATTAATGTTAACTGAAAGGGCCAGTCTCCGTGGTCCAACACTTAAGGATTGGGTGATCTGTCTAAAGCAATAGCAAAAGCAGAGTCATAAGGTCAACTTTCTTAGATTTGTTTATTATTATTATCATTATTACTATGATAATAAGAATAGTAGTAGTAATAAATCTTGTCCAGCACTTATTCTAGGCACTGCAGAAAGTGCTTTGTGTTATTGCCTGTATAAGACATATGTCATGTCATGTCATATCATATCATATCATTCGACACATGGGCAAACTGAGGCTTACAGTAGTACATAAATGCCCAAGATCACAGACCTCGGATCAAGCCTGAGTCTAACGGACTCTAAAACTTGTACTCAGAGCCATGATGTTTTCACTGAGCTCCAAGGAAACCAAGTCTAATGGTGTGACTGTTCAGTAATCAGGCGCTTTGCAGACTTTCTTATTTAAACAAAAAGTCCCTTGAAAGTAAACTCTTAGTTAAGGGGTGTGCAGATCTGGCTGGAAAAGAGGACCCATTTTTATAAGGAGCCCGAGTTTTTCTGAAAAAAAAAAAGAAAAGAAAAAAGAAACTAAGTATTCAACTCTTGCTCTCCAAGAAATAGACCAGGGTGAGCTACAAGGCACCAGAAATCCACGCTGATGAGCAAGGCTCAATGAGGGAATGATTTCAACACAGACTGGGCCAGTGGTTGTGCTTTGGAGAGTAATGGCTGAGCATGGGAGTGTAGACTAAAATGGCTTATGATCTTGAACCTAGTGTGGGGAACTAATGTGGACTGAGCAGGTCACAGTGGAAAAGCCCATCCTTAAAACTTTAAGACTGTGCAGAACCCATCTTCAGCAGTGACATCACATGGCTGCAAGAGACAGTTCAATAGTATTGATTACTGGGCTGAGAAGCTCTAAAGTTCTAAAGGGTAGGGAGGGCGAAGCCTCAAGAGGAAGGTGTTGGACTTCATGATAAAGCGCGGGAGTGGGGGCTGAGTGAAAATTACAAGTGATGGCATCATGTTTACTCTTCAAGCTTGTGGAGCAAGTCAGACCAGTAACACAAGAGACTTGGACATTTTTGCCCCTTGACTGCGTTTTAATAGTTCTGCCCATAACCTCACATAAGCCAAGGTTAGGCAAGCCAAGGTTAGATTTAATAGCCAGGTATGACCTTGCATGAGAATCCCCTGTAACATTTCAGAGCCCTCCAGATAGGCTGTTGTAGAGCTGGCCCTTTAGAACCAACTGTCAGCTGCACACAAAAGCAAAACAGGGCTCATGGTATAAAAAAATAAACATAACAAATAATGTAAAATCCCTCGTATTTGCTCAACTTCATCACCTGCAATGCTCTTCAAAACAAAAAAAGACAGATCTCTCCATATCCTGAGAAAAACTGCATGTGGAACACTCTCTTCCAAAGCTGTCATTCTGTTTCTGGTTCAACTGGCCCAGAACATCTGTCTTTTCTCACATTTAATCCACCCAATTAAGCAGAATGGACCTTCCGAGCTCATCTTCCCATGTTTTACAATTTCCTGCCCCTCGCAATGGTGGCTAGGGTCTGTTAGCAAGATTCAGAAGAGATTTAAAATCCCCTCTTTGAACTGCCTGCTAATTGGTGGAGGGTGTGTCTCCTGGTTCCTCCAAACCCTTGTTTAAGACCACTGTTGTCTGTTCTCTTTTCTTTCCTTTACACCAGTTCTGCTGTTTTCAATCTGTGTAACTATGGGAAGCTATTTGCCCTTTCTTTTCCTGTTTTCTCATCTGCAATACAGGGATAGTAACAATATTATTTACATGGAGTAGTCACTGGCAATTCTCTGCCCACATCCCCTCAGACCTTACTACTGTGATGTACAACCATCCATCTTCCACCTGCCTGAAGGCTTTATCTAGTGGCCCGAGTCTACCTGATCACAAAATATGCCAGAAAGACTAGAGAGTTAACATCCAGGGCGCAGCCTCTCAGCTAATGACTGATGGAAGTTGGTAGATAAATATGCCCTTGAGTGGGATATCTGGGAGGTACATGCCTGTATGCCCCTTGATATGGGACAACTTTGAGGTCTCTGTACCATCTCACAGGGTCCCAAGCAGGACTGAGTCCCAGTTGCCCACAGTGCTGACCTGCTGCATAACAGGCCCTCTCTTGGCTGCCTGCCCATCTCAGCTCCCTAGTCCCACACCAGTGTTTCCCGGGATCATCCCCAGATGATCTACTTGCATGTATGTCTTTGACTTGGAGAGCCCAACCTAAGACACTAGCATTCAACATGTGTGGTCTTCTCCTTCAACAGTGCCCTCTAGACTGCCCAGGGATCTATTTTTCTCTACTCATTTTACTAGTCTTCCATCTGATTTTCTCTACTCATTTTCTAGTCTTCCAGCAAGAACAGAGGGCTTGCCTGTTACTGTCCAGAACAAGTAGAAGCCATCAGCTGGCAACTGCCTTAACCAGCCCATTTCTAACATTTGTAGGATTAGAGACAAAATTTTATGAATAGAGGCTTCTGCCCTGTCACTTTCCCAAACCTGTTCTCTTCCCACCCCTGGCAAATCTACAGAATAAAGAGCCCATGCATCTGTGTGGGGACAGTTCAGACCACACGGCTATGCTCTGTTTACACTCCCTGTAAGCAGCTGCCTCTTGGCCACCCCTCAGACCACTGGTGATGTCCACCTTCTGGAGGTCCATGAAGACCCCAGATTCTGAAGTCTTGGGCACCACAGTATGTTCTAGAAGGGGAAGTATGGGCTCTGGGTAAGCATATTCCTTTGGGTCATAGAGAGAGATAACCCTGAAGTGCAGCTAGAGCTGGTCTTTCTGAAATGTGGGGCCCAGGGCAGGCAGCCCAGCTATCAGGGTCTAAGGGTGGTATTAGGCTTAACTCCTCGCCCTCAATTCAACAAACCTTCCTGCATCTGCATCCAGCCTCCCTACCTTCACTCCTGTGCAAAGCAAGAAGTGTTCTCCTATCTGAGGTCAATCCCTTCCCTCCACTTGGATCTCCATTCAGAACTCAGGGTCAGGGAGAAGTGGGAGACAGTGAAGAGAGCCCTGGCCTTGGGAACACAAAGGACCAGGTTTCAGTTCAGGACCTGTCATTCACTGACCAAACCCGGCCCACCTTCTATAGTTGGCATAAGACCTAAGTGACATAATCAGGGACAAGTGCTCACTTAACTGAATAGCATTATACGAAGTGTAAAGAGATATTACTCTTAGTTGCAGCTGGGCGCGGTGACGCATGCCTGTAATCCCAGCACTCTGGGAGGCCGAGGTGGGTGGATCACCTGAGGTCAGGCGTTCAACACTAGTTTGGCCAACACAGTGATGTACTAACATGGTCTGTACTAAAAATACAACAAAAAAAATAGCTGGGTGTGGTGGCGGGCACCTGTGATCCTAGCTACTTGGGAGGCTGAGGCAGTAGAATCACTTGAACTGAGGAGGTGGAGGTTGTGGTGAGCCAAGATCGCGCCACTGCTCTCCAGCCTAGGGGACGGAGCAAGACTCTGTCTCAAAATAAAAAACATATTACTCTTACTTGCAGTCCTTTTTTTTTTTTTTTTTGAGATGGAGTCTCGCTCTGTCGCCCAGGCTGGAGTGCAGTGGCACCATCTTGGCTCACTGCAAGCTTCGCCTCCCAGGTTCATGCCATTCTCTTGCCTCAGCCTCCTGAGTAGCTAACTGGGACTACAGGTGCCCACCACCAGGCCTGGCTAACTTTTTGTATTTTCAGTAGAGACGGGGTTTCACCATGTTAGCCAGGATGGTCTCAATCTCCTGACCTCATGATCCGTCTGCCTCGGCCTCCCAAAGTCCCAATTTTATATACGTAGTTTATAAAAGGCAGTGCCTGGAGCTTGGGAAAACAGCTTCTTTTAGGCCTTAGCTAGTATCTTTGGACAATCGGGTAATTTGCTTTCTTCTCATTATTGGGTGATTGCATAAGGTTGTTTTTTTTTTTTCTTTTTTATTTGTGTTATTAATGAGGGCTGAGATTCTTAAATAAAATATCTTATCAAGGAACTAAATGCTATTATATTATCTACTGGAGATTTTACTCTAATCTTTTAGAAAAGCCACCTTAGAATGTTAGCTCAAACCCATCCTTAGAGTCCAAAACAATATTAGTTTCTTTTCTTTTAAAAAGTCTATGTATTTCAAATATTACCTTTGAATAGCCACTAACAGTAGGAAGATATGGAAAAGACTTGCGAGGTCAAGTGTAAAGGTTAAATGAGATTCAGAGAACATGGCTGAATTACCTGGTCCCTACGGCACAACTAAGAAGGGTTTGTACAATTTTAATGAGTCGAAAAACAAAGAAGAGTTATAAAACAGAGACTATAAATGGACCTCAAAGCCTAAAATATGTACTATTTGACCCTTTGTGAGAAATGTTTGCTGACCCCTACCTAAAATGATTGAAGGACTCATCAACTCGCTTCACCTTTCCTTTATCAGCCTCTCATGGAATCACCTCCCGTCTCCAACGGCATCCTCAGAGCCAAGCTTGGGGGATGTATTATGATTCTGAGCCTAAAGATCATTTGGTGATGGACTTGTTGAGAGCTAAGAGGGGCCTCTGGGACTAAGCACAAGGTCCTGAGTAATTTTTTTTGGTGGGGGCGGGGTTGTTGAGCGAAGTATTGGAAGGATCACAGCACATGTTCTAGACTCAAGAGTAGCAGCACAAATAGAGCTCAAGGAGACCTTCTCAAGTTCTTGATTTTTTTTGTTCACTCAGCCTAGGCCAGAAGAGGTGCCTTGGTCTCCTGGTCTTGACTTGTTTTTTCCTTTTTTTGGAAATTTTTTTTTTGGTAGAGATGGAGTCTCTCTAATTGCCCAGGTTGGTCTTAAACTCCTGGGCTTAAGCAATCCTTCTGCTTTGGCCTCCCAAAGTGCTGAAATTGCAGACATGAGCCACTGTGCTCAGCCTTGGTCTTTACTCATTATCAGGGTTGTGTGCTTGGGAGAACAAATAAACTGGTCAAAATGGAAACTGTACTAACCAGTAAATTTTTTTTATTTTTATTTTTATTTTTTATTTTTTTGGTAGAGACGGGTTTCACCATGTTGCCCAGGCAAGTCTCGAACTCCTGGGCTCAAGCGATCCACCTGCCTCAGCCTCCCAAAGTGCCAGGACTACAGGCATGAGCCACTGCACCTGGCTGAACTGGTAAATCTTTGATAGCCATCTGCAACTTTTGGTTACAAATTTTAGCTTTGGAGTCAGAAGTCAAAGCAAGACAGCACAGTCTTTGGAGAAGGTGTCACTACCCTCAATTTGTAGCCTCAAATATCACAAACCCAGCATGTCCAGACCTTCTCCCTTGAGTCTTACACTGCCTTCTCCTGGCTGAAGCCAGAAATGAGGGTGGGGGAAAGGATTTTCTGCTCTTCTAACTCATGGTTTTGGAATAATTGATTTCTTCCCCTTTATGCCCATTTCTTCCCTTTGTTGCCAGTCCTTTCACACTTACCTTCAGTCCTGGAGGGAGGACCTCTTGTTTGTGGATCTGGATGACAGTGATACTCACAAGCACCACAATACTCACAAGCAAGACCACCAAGGCAATAATGGTTGGAGTTCGGTAGAGGGCTTTGAGGCCTAAAACGAGAAGACCCAGAAGGCACTTGAGGGGAAGGTAAAAACCAGGCACTGGTATTCTTTGTAGAATCGATGGACTGGCCCCATAATCACATGCATAAACCACTTTCTTTGGTGTTAGCGAGACCCACACTTCTAAGACGGAGTAGCAAATAAGCTCCCCTTCTCCCCAGTTTTGGGGGAAGGACAAACAGTACGCATTTGCCCTTCCTCACAAATTGTGTACTAAAACAGTGTTGCAGGGAAGGTATGCATGGTCTAGTTTTCTGATATTGTGGTTATCCCTGAGATGAATTACAATAACATTCGTTTTACTTTTTTCTTTTTTCTTTCTTTCTTTCTTTCTTAATAATAATAGTCTTGGTAGAACTACTGGGACATAAGCATAAATGACACCCAAATGGTTGAAATATGATGAACACTAATAGAAGGATCACTAGATTCATCGAATTCCAATATATATCTAATCAATTGGCTATCTAAATGTAAATTAATTAAAATAAAATAAAATAAAAACGCAGTCTCTCAATCTTACTAGCCACATTTCCAGTGTTCAATAACCACGTGTGGGCTAGTGGCTACTATATTGGACAGTACAGCCATATAACATTTTCATCATTATAGGAAGATCAACTGAACAGCAATTTGATAGATCCTGTCTTATTCCAGAACATTATTCCTAGATCATCATAACCTATGCTTTACCCTTTCATTATTTCTGTAAGACATTTGCCCAGAAGAAAAAAAGGGCGTGTCTATGCACCCAGGATATAATTAGATTCAGCCCACAAATTCAGTCACATCACAACATTTGCTACAGGAGGGCAGTCACGCAGTAGGTCTTCGTGGCTCAGAACAACTAACTCTTTCCATCTCAGCTGATTCCCCTGCAGTGTAGCTGCAGTCACAGACACTTCTTGGTGTCAAAGTTGGTCACTTAACACCTTAATCCTCCTACCTTGTCATTGAAAGTGTAAACTAGTACAGCATCAATGGAGGGCAGTTTGTCAATATTTATCAGAACTGCAAATAAGCATGCCATCTGACTCACAATCAAACTTTTGGAAAAATATCCCACAGAACCAGCTCCACATGTGTAAAATGACTTAGACACAAGGTTACTCATTACAGAATTGTGGGTAATAGCAATGGAAAGGAGAGCCAACTGCCATGGAGTTGACCTGCAGAGCATATGAAGAGGTCCTATATCACTTTTCTGTGATTCCAAATAAAAGTACAAGAACCAGCCAGGAACCAGTTAATCCACAGAGGCGAACTTTTGCATCAGCTTTCAAAGAATGCATTTGTCAGTGTCAGCTATAGAAGTTTAAGGGATTTTTTTCCCCCTAATAAAATGTGGTAGAAATTTAATCTGCCAAGTTAAACTTTTCCTTTGGAAGGAATGTAACAGGTTAGTCTATATGAGTGATGTTACAATCTCTGTGTTAACATTTCAAAGTGTTTCGGGGGAAAACCTAAAAATCAAAGGAAAACAGCTCCTCACGTGCAATCTCCCTTTACAAAAATAAAAGTTCACATAGATTGCCCTTACTATCCTAAAATCATATCCTTTTAGAAGACAAGAATACCCAGTTCAGGGGCATGACTAAAGAATGTTTATCCATGGGGAAGGAGTGTGTGATATGTATGCAGTTTCCTGACCACAGCTACGTGGCTGGCCTCCTAAGTCTTCTGTGTTTCAGCAGTTTTCAAGTAAAAAGCTATGATTACCTTAAGCAAACCCTTGTCCCAGCAGAAAAGCTTATTACAAAGCAAAATGGACGAGACCAGGTCTTATTCATTTAGGAAATGCAGCCTAGAGCTGCGCTGTCATTAGGGCTGGACAAACATGGTAATTGCAAGGTACCTACCTGAGCGTGGAGAAGCCAGAGGCTTCTGGGCTTCCACATGAGCAACTCCAAAAAGTACTCTAGAGACAGGCGGGGCAAGCTTAGAAGTGTGTGTATGTGTGTGTGTGTGTGTGTGTGTGTGTGTGTGTGTGTGTCTGTGTGTGTGCGCGCGCGCTGGTGCCTGCGAGTTTGAGAAAATCCCGCACTCCTGCCTGCAGTATCAATCATAACAACACTGACCCACGGTGAGGGGTGGGGGTGTTGTAGGCACTGTGCCAGCAACATTTGGATGGGAATACAGGAAAGATCCAAGTACTTTACAATTGATCACAAAATCAACAATACAGTATTCTAAAGCAAACCTTACATACAGCTAGGTAAGGGAAACCACAAGGGCCAAATTAATGGATTATACAAACCGGAAAAACCTTTTAAGTGAAACATGCATGTTAGTCCTTGTTTTGTGTGGCTTTGATGAAGAGCATTACTTTTATTTGAGGAATGCCAGTGACGAAACCCAGTTGAATACTGAGTCTCAAACCAACAAAGTTAAACAATAATTTGCAGGGGATATGGATGAAAAACTGTGGGCCGAACCTGGGATTCTCTTGCGATTTGGCAAAACCACGCTTGCTGCCTGCTGAGAGATACTAACCTGCTTGCTCACATGGTTGGCGGGTCAGCACAGTGAACATCTTTTCTCCCAGCTGCAGGTGAGAGAAGACAGGATGTCAGTAAGTCCACGGCCCCCGACCTCAGAAGTTTAAAGAACGAGCACAGGTTCAGACAAAACCCATTCTACTTCCTCCAAATCAAAACCTCATCCCGGGAAAGGTCAGCCCAACCCAGGACTTCAGAGACAGCCCCAAAGCTGGAGCTTAAATTCCATGTCATCTCCCCAAATGCAAGGAAATCAAACATAGATTTGCTGAAACTTCAAACTGAAAAGATTTTCCGAAAAAAAGGTCTTTTTCTGCAGATTGTTCCACCTGTACACACACCCAAGAAAGAATAAATCTTCCCCCTATTATTACCATTCATAGGGCTGAGGCGGGGCTTTTCTTCAGAACATCAGCAAGGAAGGTTTTTGTGTGTTCGTGGATCGCGAGCCTGGAGCCTCTCTTTAAAGCCCCGGGAGGGGAGTCTTTAGCTGCTGGCTGGAAATTGCAAAGGGATGTCGGGGCCCTGGGATCCAGCCCCCACCAGGATCTGGGGTCAGCGCTCTGGACTGCGTCTCTGCATAGCCGCAGGCATCTAAGCGCCCAGCACATCTGCGGATCCGTGCAGGCAGTCGGTAAAGACGCGCCCACCCGTCGTGGGCATGGCAGGGACCACCTCCCCCCGCCCAAGGATTTAGGGCTCGCGTGCTTCAGTCTCTTCCTCTGGCCCTCTGAGGAAATCCGATTTTGTTTCCTTGCCCCTCAACTCTTAGTCTCACGCAGCACCCCCGACTCCTTCCTTGGCAGCTCAGGCGCCGGGTGCCTTGACCTTACCTGTGCGGAGCCGATTCGGAGGAGGCGACTAGCGCTGCCGCAGAGGCTGCCGGCGGCCAGCGCTGAGGAGGTGTCAACCTAGAACACGGGAGGCGGCGCCGGGTGAGGCGGGGCGGCGGCGGGGGCGGGGCGGCCTCGGCCTGGGACCTCCTCCCGCGTCCGTGTCAAGGCCAAGGGCCTCTTCACCTTCTTTTCTGGTTGCTCTCACCTTCACACCCAGCCCTCGATGGAAGGGGAAGGGAGAGAGAGCGCGCCTCTTGCCGAAAGACCGACCCTGCCTGCCCCGAGAGCCTTCTGTCCCCCTCCAGGTCCAAGCCAAACAGCACTTCACCTTTCCTCTTTCAGTTTCCTCCACGCTCACCTCTACCTGAAGTCAGAGAGGACAGAGCCGCCAGGCCTTGCCCTGAGAACCCACTGGAGCCTATGTGGGTGAGGGGGAAGGGAGGTGTCTATTATCTGCCTCCCTCTTGCATCTGTGTCAAGACCAAGAACCTTGTGATCTGTCTTCTAGTTACCTCCATTGTCACCCCCACCCTAGGGGAAGGGAAAATGGGCAAAAGGCCAGGCAGGGACTGGGCACTCTGTGGGTGTGCATGACCTCATGCGGTCCCCCGGTGGGTGGCTCCTGTGGTCTGTCTCTCCATGGGGTGGAGTGGAGTCAAACACCTGTAATGTTGGGAGTGAGACCAATAGGCAGGCTGGCCCCTAGGTCACTTGGGCCTAAAGCACAAAGTATGGCAGGCACATTCCCTTTCATACTTAGCAGAACCGCCTTGGCCATGCCCAGGGACATTCTTGTTGTTTACTGGGCAATGCTCTGCCCTACCCCATTTAACACGGGTGTCGTAAGGCCAAAATTCAAGACAAGCACAGCCCGGAAGAGGCAAAACAGAAAAGATAACAAAAAGGCAGCATGCGGGCTACGTTGATCCAAACACCCCAGGGGTCTGTCTCAGTGTACAGCAGCAGGCAGCCGCCCTGCTCCTCTGAGTGACCCCAAAGACCCTTGGAGTGATCCCAGCAAGAGGCCTAAGCAGGCCCTGTTTGACCATCCCTTCTTGTGGTTCCTGCATGCCTGGAAGGAAGAGCTGAGTCCCTGGTTATACCCTGCGATGGCCTGCTTTCTCCTAGAAATCCACTAATTTCCTGTCCTGTGCAGGTGGGGCCAAAGTCCCTGAGACAAGAAGTCCTTAAGATAGGAATGCCCCTGCTTTGAGACCTGTGAGCCCAGAGAGGTGGGCCCCAAGCCTGAGCTATGTCACCAAGCCTGAGCTATGGTCACTCACCCAGAGTTGGATGGAGGTGGACCCCGTTGGGGGATTGGGACAGGGTCTGCACTGGCGGTATCAGACATTCAGTGAATACTTGCTGAATTAAAAGACTTGTTTTCTTTGAAAGCTGTGGGCCAGTGAAACGTAAGGCATATGGCTGGCAGCTGAAGTCTGTCTGCACCCAGGAGGCTGTAAGTACACAAACAGCTGCTGGCAGTGCACCCAGACCTGAGCTCAGTAAGATAGCCCCAGTGGGTGAATGACTAACCTTAGCATCCCCAGTGACTTCCCAGGGGCTGGGAAAAGGTTTCCAGGCCTAATGGGCCTTGAAATGCAGTTAGTGCTAGTATATAAAAATAACAGAGTTCAGTTCATGCCAGCTTTCCTCTCTGCTTGCATCAACCTACAGACCTTGTAAGTGTGAGCATCAGCCTCCTTTGAGAGCCCTGTTGTCTCTAATTCTCCTTTTATTTTTCCAAGCTTTTCTGGAAACTCTCTGCTCCAGGCACTGTGTCAAACTCCTTTGCAGCTTCCAAAGTAGACCTAGTCATTCAAAGGCATTTCCTCATTGACCTTCCACATGCAAGAACACACACACACACACAGACACACACACACTCACCTTTGTGAGTTTTCCTGATTATCAAATAATACAGATTTGCCTTACCAGTTATCAAAACATATTGTAAAGTTACAGTAATAAAAACAGCCTGTCTTGGGCACAGGAATATACTGAGAGATCTAAAGAACAAAAAAGATAGGCCACAACAGACTATTGGATATAGGATTATAAGATAAAGAAGAGGTTGAAATAACATATTATTCAATAACTGGTATTGAAACTACTGGCTCATTTGGAAAAGGATTCTAATTACTCATCCTCCACAAAAATAGATTTTAGGTGGTTTAAAAATTTAAATATATAAAATAATTTAATGTGCTAAAAAATGTAGAAGAACATTTTTATCATCCTTGGAAAAGAACAGTCTCTTCTACTATGCGGTCAAAGCAGGAAGAGAAATAATGTCAACAAATTTGAATCCATGAAAATGAAAAACAACTGAATAGAAAGACACCACCCACCGCAATACCCCCCTAAAAAAAGATAAATTCTCAGGAAATGCCTAAGAATTTGACAGTAAAGAGTTTAAAACCATAAATATATACTAAAGTCTATAGAAAAATATGAATATCTGAAATAGAAAATGGGCAAGTCACATGCACTGGCCAATTTACAAAAGAAATATGAATGGCTGACTAACATGGCAAAGATGCTTAATCTCATTATTTACCAAAACTAAAACTTTGGTATATTTAAACAAGATTAAAAACAAACTGATTAGCTTAGCAAAGTTTGAAAAGATCTAGGCCAGACTCGGAGGCTCACACCTGTAATCCTAGCACTCTGGGAGGCCAAGGTGGGCAGATCACCTGAGGTCATGAGTTCAAGGCCAGCCTGGCCAACATGGTGAAACTCCGTCTCTACCAAAAAATACAAAAATTAGCCAGGCGTGGTGGTGCATGCCTGTCCCAGCTACTCGGGAGGCTAAGGCACAAGGATGGCTTGAATCTGGGAGGTGGAGGCTACAATGAGCTGAGAAGCTGAGATTATGCCACTGCACTCCAACCTGGACTGGACTACACAGCAAGACCTTGTCTCCAAAGGAAAAAAAAAAAAAAAATCAGTGGTGCTTGTGTTGGAGAAGGTGCCAGAAAACAGGCCCTCTTGAAGCATCTGATGTGTGCCATGTCCTCCCACTTCTCTAGACACTTTCGCTGGTTCATGCTCCTTTCCTGGGAGTTTCTCAAGACTCAGTCTTCAGGATTATTTTCTTCTCAGTCTGTATTCTCTTCCTAGGTAATCTCATCCATGCCTATGTCTTCTGTTTTATTCACAGAAGCTCTCAAATCCAGGGCTCAGGCTTCCGCTCTTGATCTGTAGACCTAGAGAATTGTGTTTTTCATCTTTCAAGTGTCATACAGGCACCTCACATTTACAGGGCTTCAAGCAGAGCTCCTTATCTTCCCCTATCAAACCATCAACTCCTCAAGCATTTCTCATCTCGGCACTCCCCACTCACCCAGGTGAGCAAGCCAGGAACCTGAGCGTTGCCTTTGATAGTCTTTTCCCCACTCCGCACGATCAATCAGTCACTAATTACTGCTGATTTTAACCTCTTAATCGTCTCTCCAATATGTACTTCTTTCTCTCTCTCGGCCACCATCATGGTCTGAGCCAGGATTTCCCAGTTGGAGCACTATTGATATTTCAGGTCAGATAATTGTTGAGGGAGCTGTCCTGTGTATTGTAGGATATTTAGTAGCATCCTTGACCTTTCTCTACTAGTTGCCAGTAACATCCTCCCACACATGGTGTGACAACCAAAAATGTCTCAAGACATTGCCAAGTGTCCTCAGAGGAGTAAAATTTCCCTGGTGAGAACCACTGGTCTAAGCTACCATGCTCTTTCTTCTGGATCTCGGCAACAGTCTCACAAATCTCTCTGCGTCCGTTTTCTTCCTTTCTGATCCATTTTCCCAAGCCACCAGGCCCCGTCTCTTTAAAACCCAGATCTCTCTGTCAAAAACTCTCTGTAAAACACTCTTCTGTGCTGTCCATTTCTTAGTGGATTCACAATCAAATTCTCAACGTGATCTAGAAGGCCCTGCAAGGTATATTCTCTATCTCTCTTTCCAGTCTCTGTCAGCCCATACAACTTCTTACTTCATGCTCTGAAGACAAACCAGCCTTCTTTCAGTTTTTCGAGTATATCATGTTTACTCCTGCCATAGGACCTTTGTACATTATTTTCCTAATTAGCACCTGTTTATACTTTTTTTCTCACCTCAGTCACATCACTGATACTTCCCTGACATCCCCTAATCTGGATCATACATCCAACCTGGGTCAAGTCCCTCAACTATGTGCTTTTAAATCAGGCATTCCTTTCTTTCAGCTAGAGTTTCATTATCGCCATTCTTGAGCAAATGACCCCTGTTGCCTATCACCAAAGCAGCAGCCCCAGGATGTTAACTCACTGTATGGTTTGCAGATGTCCATGTCACCAAGAAAGACGATTCACACAGGCACTGGATGGAAAACACTTTACTCATATAGAGAAGAGACGGAACAAGATTAGCTTCAGTGATGATTGTGTGTCCCCATGGCTGCGGGTCTCACCCTCTAACTGATGCAGGGAGATGGACTGCATACACCACTCTGTTGCTGCAGGTGAAGATCCTCAACCCATCCCCCCTGGGGCCAGAACTATAGGAAGCTGGAGGTGCACTTGACGGCTGTTGACCCATGCGCTTGAGAACAAAGAAGTACACATGAAACCCGGAACAGGGAAAGTTATTACAAAGCAGAGATATGCCTAGCACAGGCTATGAGGACTCTTTATCTCTGTGCAAGAAAATGTTCCAGGTCCGAGGCTACTCTTATGTAACCATGCAGGGGGTGAGAAGCTGTGCACAACTGCATTTCATAACAGGAATTCTCTCGTTATTCTTTCTCAACTAGCTTTCGTAACAGGAATTCTCTCAGTATTTCTCTGTCCGCTAGACAGTAAACCATGTGCAAGCAGAAGTCATGCTTTCCTTACATCACTTTTGCATTCTCAGTGCCTAGCACTGTTAACTGTCTAGTGAGCACTCAGTAAATATGTGTTGAATGAATGGGATGCTCTTTTATAGATTAAGAATATTAACCCTTTTACTACCTTATATG